CCCTTCCACATCACGTGATTCATTAAATAATTAATGCAGAGGTTGCAGAATAGATATGTATTCGTCAGGAAAATCGCAGACATGGTCTCCTTGTGTCTGACGTGAAATTCAACTGTCCTTTAAAAAACAAGCCTATAGCTGAGGAAAAAAAGAGAGAGAAAGAGAGAGAGAGAGAGAGAGAGAGAAAGAGGGGGAGAGAAAGAGAGAGAGGGGGAGAGAGAGAGAGGGAGAGAGAGAGAGAGAGAGGAGTCTGCAATAAAACAATTCTCAGGAACCAAGAAGCCACGCCGAGGGCTGGATTATTGTAAGTAGCAGGGGCTTCCCAATTCCTAGCGTGTCTATATGTCCATGTAAATTTATTGTTTGTTATTAATGTTATTGTCGTAAAATGTGACAAATAGCAGTCTTCATTTCCTCCCATTTCTCTTCACATGGTGGTATGTGTGTTTATACCCATCGAGGCATTTCATTGATATTTTTAGGAATATTCCTCTCTCTCCCTCTCTCTCTCTCTCTCTCCTCGCAAGCTTTTTTTTCTTCCCCCTTTCTTGATTTATTACAATAAACATGTCAGCAGCAGTGCGGCTGCCATTGTGTGTGTGTTTGTGAGAGAGTTGTGTTGTTTATAGTGGTGTCCAAGATAAATCATTTCTCGAGTGAAAATGATGTGCAAGCGATGATATTTTAGAGCGAGGATCTCTCTCTACCCCACTCCCTGGAGTTGATTATTTCAGACGATTTACAGTAATAGATCAGCAGCTAATATGAAAGCTCTGTAGCTGGGGGTCTTAAATTACAGCATCTGTGATTACCAATTAAGGAGAGATTTGTATAAATTTGATAAACCGGGAACGCCTCATTGGCATATAAACCTAGTAAAAGAGCACGACCTTAATATAAAAATTACAGCTTGGAGTCCTATGTTGCAGCATCCCTTTGTCAACGATAACTCATTTTGTACTAAGTTCTCCCCCAGTTCCCTATTCCCCATCCCTTCCTTCGGCAGAAGGGCTCCTCACTGGAATACAGGCACAGGTTGATGGCTCGCTTTAGTAAAAGGAGGCAATTTCTGGAGGTGTCCCATGGTAAATCAAACGCAAAAATGGGACTTAGAATGCAAAACCAAATTGCAACAGGAAGCCTGAAAGGTAGCCTGCCTCTGCGAGAGACACGGCTTTGGTCACAAGCAGAAAAGGAAGTTTGCTTAGGGAAAACAGAACAATAGGTATCTAAGGTAACTGGGATAATATTATGGGGCTTCATCAGAAGGCTGATTGTCTAAGGGCTTTATAACCACCCATCATTGACAACAACAGAAAAGGGGAATAAACTCATTGCGGGTACTTCGTTGTTCTTTTATACCAGTAGGATAACTTTGCATGGCTTTCTAGCGCGGTGATCTTGCTAAGACTGTGATGATGATGGATGAAGAGATAGCGGATAACGTTCTTATGATGAAAGTTGGAGAAGGTGCTCTAAGGAATGCCTTTATATTTAGGAGTCCAGGCCTGTTATTTGCCTCAGGAAAAAACAGAACTCCAAGGAGTAATAGTAGTAGAATACAGGTTTAAATAATAGCAGAACCTGGCCGGCAGCTGTTACCTTTTTAGTGATTACTGACTATGTAAAATATAGCTAAGCTTTAACAGGGAAATTACTTTCAGCCCAAAGAGGTACGGCAGTGAAGATCAGGCTTTGGGGACAAGACGTGTGTCCTAAACGATGGGGGGGGGGGGGGCATTACCTGCTTTAATGTCAGCGCGGGGAGCGCATCCTCCGCGGAAAATGGGAGGTCAGGAGTCACGCACTGCCCTCCCCTCCCATCTCCAAACTGGACCAAATTGGTCCTAACCGGGAGTGTTGAAAGGGAAGGAGGAAGTGGGAGATGATGTTTTTAAATATTTTACAAGCTCCAACATGCAAGGAGTCAATAAAACTGACAACAGGAGCAAAGATTAAATGTTCGCACCGGATTCTCGAATGAGAATTCACCGCTTTTTTCTCCCTCGCTTCCTTTCCCTTTCCTCCCCTCTGCTCGCCAGCCAAGTCTAACACCACCAGAGCGGTGATATTTAACTCTGTCTGCTAGTGTAAACCTTTATGTAGCAAAATTAGAGCAACTCAGTGACTTTCATTAAATATTAAGGAAGATCCAGGGATGGTGATTGAGCCTGAAATACAGCATCATTCTTTGTCAAGCCCCGTATTAATTTAAATTGTCGGCTTCCAAAGGATGCAGACCAGTTAGTGTATTTTATTTGGCTGCATTTTATTTCATTGCATTTTATTTTGCTGCATTTAATTTTGTTGCATTTTATCCTGCTGTATTTTTTTTTTCTGTAGGCTTGAAACTTTGAGAGCGGGAACCCGGCCCTTTGTGGCCGGGCTGCTGCAGCGGTGCCCGCACAGAGTGCGAACTCCGTGCGGGGAGCGACCCCGCAGCCCCCTGCAGCTCCCCGCAGCGGGCGGCATCACCCTCTGGCTAAATCAGTACCCGAGGCTTTATTTAGCCCCGGGTCCAGGCACCATTGTGCGAGTGCCGTCCTTTAATAATCAGATGACGGGAGGTGCTGCAGTGGCGGAGGGCTGCCGGGCTCGGGGTGGCCAAACCTTCATGCGGAGAACACAGCTCTGGCCCCTTGGCACTGCCTCTCCAGCCGGAGAAGGGATACTCAGGCCCGGGATAGGAGCTCTAGCCTCGGGACAGCATGAGCAGGGAGGGGATCCCCAGAGCTGGGATAGGAGTCTAGATCCGGGATTAGAGCTCCAGACCCAGGAGGGGGTCCTCTGACCCGGGTTAGGAACCCAGACCCGGGATAAGAGCACTAGGCCCAGGATAGGACCCCTGACTCAGGGAGAGGATTCACAGACCCAGGTTAGGACATCAAACCCAGGATAGGAACCCAGACCCGGAAGGGGTCCTAACCCGGGTGGAAGGTCTCAAGCAGGGATCGCCCCTCTTTCTGTCGTCCCTCTCCGGCGGCTTTGGGAGGGGACCAACAAGGCAGGAGTCTGGGTGCTGCAAAACTTCGCTCGGGGCAGGACTGGGGCTTAGAGGGCCCCGTGGAGCCTGGAGCGCCGTCCCGGATCCCAGCTCTGTCTGGGCTCCCCGAGGCTTAGGGGTCCCCTCTGCTCCCCGCACCCTTTTCAGCCCCATCCTCCTCAGAAACTCGCGATTAGCGGCTGCCCAAGGTAAAGGGCTTCTTTTTGGCCAGGTTTGGGAGGGGAAATCCGAGGCAGCGGCCGCAGAAGCCCCTGCCCCACGCATCCCCCGCGCTTCCCCGGCCGCTGCCGCTCACCACCCGCGTCACTCTGTCCAGCCGTACAATTACTTTGCTGTTCCCTTACACCCGCTGACTTAAAGAGCAAATCGTTCCTTACCGTTGTTTTTCAGCTGTATTTCTTTATTAGCTCGCTGAAACCGAGTATTTCGAGAAAAAACTAGAGCTTGGGATAGTGCGCGTTATAGTTACAAATGACAGAAATGATATTCAAAAGATGGGAAGAGATAATAATCTATTTTAAGTAGCTCGAGTAAGTGCTGTTTCATTAATTTCTATGCAATGAGTTTTTCTTCTTGCCTGTCATCTCTTCAGAAGTTCTTGGTCTACCAGCACACAGCGAATCCGTGCTTATCACATACTCATCCCCAAAGAAATCTCTCCCTCCCGTCTTCTCTCAGCCAGACATACCCTATCTTTTCCCAAAGAGGAAGCTATTAACGTTGTAAATATGAGCCAGCATCACCTTAATTCATAATTTATTGCAGGCGGTAGGAGAGAGTTATTTAAGATCAAAGCATCGTGGAGGGCGAGAGCTGCAAGGTGTGGAGGCCAGGGAGCGGAGCAGCGCAGAGCAGGAAGGAGGCGGATGCAGAGACCTGGAGCTTAGCGCGGAGCGGAGCGCGGGCGGAGCAGGACGCGGGCGCGGGGCGGGCGCTCGCTGCCTAGGGAAACGCCGTGCTGCAGTCGCGGGCGCTGGCACAGCTCTGCGCCAAGCCGCTATTTTGCAGCACAACTCGCTATGAAAGCAAAGCGGCTGAGACGAGACCAAAGCGGGCAGTAACCTCCGCGCAAGGGGACTTGCATCCGAAACAACCACACGACGCAGGCCTCAGGAGCCGCTGACAACACCAGAGCCGATGTAAATTATGCTGCTTCGCTTTAATATGTGGAAAGGGAGCTGAACACGATTTTCTCGCAGACAAGACAAAAGGGAAGAGTCTTGTTGCTTTCAGTTAAATAGGCAAAAGGTTGGAAATGGTGACAATTTCCTTTGAAGTTTTCTCTTTCTTTTTTGGTCGGTAGGAGGGAGAGGAGAAGAGAGGGAGGCGGAAGAAATAAAAATTTCAACACTTGCCTGCGCGTAACCAAATCAGTTGAAAAGGGAGGCTATAAATCAGAGGCGATGTTAGAGATTTGACTCCTTATTTTTTTTAGCACAGCTATAAGGGGAGGGGTTAAGAAGATATTCCCACTCGTTACTGTTCCATCTCCTTTTGATGTCCGGCTCAATACGAAATATATCAGCGCTTTATTGGCAGCGGTATCTAGAGGTCAGGAGAAAAGCATTAAAAACTCGGGGTCAAATTCTCGCCGAACATGTCCCGGTGAAATCAATAGGGGCTGTCAG